AACCTTCTGTCCTCTCTGAAACTCTAGCTTGTGTCACGTGCCTGTACTGTATCTAGTGTCCCTCAAACCCCCTCAGGCAGCCCTGGGGCTCAGCTCTGAGGTGGGTGCTGACTGCAGCCACCCTTCCCAACCCCAGGTACGCCATGAAATGTCTGGACAAGAAGCGCATCAAGATGAAGCAGGGGGAGACCCTGGCACTGAACGAGCGCATCATGCTTTCCCTTGTCAGCACCGGGGTGAGCTGGGAAGCCAGGGTGGGCCCCACAGCAACTTTGGTTGGGGACCCCATGCAGTCTCTCCTCACAACCCCTCTCTTCTAGGACTGTCCCTTCATCGTCTGCATGTCATATGCGTTCCACACACCGGACAAGCTCAGCTTCATCCTAGATCTCATGAATGGTGAGTGGGCACTGGCCCCGGGTGGCACTTGGGGCAGGCTGGGGCAGGCAGCTGAGCTCACCCTGCAGGGCTTCCTCAGGTGGGGACCTGCATTACCACCTGTCCCAGCACGGGGTCTTCTCTGAGGCTGACATGCGGTTCTACGCGGCCGAGATCATCCTAGGCCTAGAGCACATGCACAACCGCTTCGTTGTCTACCGGGACCTGAAGGTGAGGTGCCACCTGCCACCTATTCCTTGTCCCTCCTTGCCACACCCGGCCTGCAGACCTGGGACAAGGCTGGCCGATCTCCTCCCCTTGAGCCCTTTCCTCTGAGCCACTCTCTGGCTTTAGATGACTAGGGAAAGGAGGGCCCAGGACCCCATAACCCTCCCTGCTGGGCCAGGCAACACTCAACACTCACTGGGCTTCCCCCCACAGCCGGCCAACATCCTTCTGGACGAGCACGGCCATGTGCGCATCTCCGACCTGGGCCTGGCCTGTGACTTCTCCAAAAAGAAGCCCCACGCCAGTGTGTGAGTGCCCCGGCCGGCCACCTGTTTCCTCCCTGCACCTGTGCCCCACACACACACACACACACACACACTCCTACTCATGGCCCTTTGCTTCTGCAGGGGCACCCATGGGTACATGGCCCCCGAGGTCCTGCAGAAGGGTGTGGCGTATGACAGCAGTGCGGACTGGTTCTCCCTGGGCTGCATGCTCTTCAAGTTGCTTCGGGGGTGAGTGGACCATCATCGGTGGGCAGTGGGGACAGAGAGAGGCTATGCCAAGTACAAGGGAGGAGCCCTCAGGCAGCACCCTGATTTTAGACAAGACTGATTTATATTGTCTGCCTCAGTTTCCTCTTTTCTGGTGTTTGATCTTGGTCTTCGGCCTCTCTTGCCTAGGCACAGCCCCTTCCGGCAGCACAAGACCAAAGACAAACATGAGATCGACCGCATGACATTGACAATGGTGAGCATAAGGGTCTCCTCAGTGGGGCTGGTATGTCCTGCAGGTGCCAAGGTGACAAACTGTTGGTTCCCACCAACCAGCAGTGATCTCAAGCTGCTGATCCCCTCTGTTCCTGTGAGGCAGACTTGTCCACATACTCTACCAGCTGTTGTCACAGCTCACATTTACAGCTGTGTGAGGTAGCACACACCTATAATACCAGCACTCTTAGAAGCTGAGACAGAAAGGTCACAAATTGAAGCCTGGCTCTGGCAACTTAGCAACTAAGCGAGACTTTGTCTAAAAAAGGGTATAAAGACCCTGGGTTCAATCCCTAGTACTGGGGACAGGGGGAGCTTATACTTGCTGAGGCCATTTGGAAGCCTGGCTTTGTTTCTACCTGCTGAGGGCTGGACCTGCTCCCCAGAGCTGTGACAGGGCCAGAGGCTTCTCCTCAGCCCCTGCCAACATCCTCTCCTCCCTCAAGGCTGTGGAGCTGCCTGACTCCTTCTCCCCCGAACTCCGCTCCCTGCTGGAAGGTTTGCTGCAGAGGGATGTCCACCGGAGGCTGGGCTGTCTGGGCCGTGGGTGAGTGCTCTGTTCACCACCGTGCAGCTATGTGAGTTGCTGCTGTGGGCTGCTGGATGAACCAGGCCTCTGGTTGTGCCCCCAACACCCCAAGAAGGAGGGCTGGGTCCATCATTCAGAGCCCGCCTCCTTTGAGATGCTTACATGTGGGTCATGGCCAGCCCTAGCCCATGTCCTCAGAGTAGAAGGGTTGCCTGGGCTTGGAGGGCTGGGGCCTTGCTCCCAAAGGGGCCCTTATAACAAAGATAGTGATGACAATAGCAGCTTTTTATGTCCGTTGAACTTTCACTGAATGTCAGGCAGGATGCTGCAAGATTACCAGCATTGAAGCTCACAGCAGTCCCCTAAAGTGTGAAGTGCTGCCCTCCCATTTAGAGATGAGGAAGGAGGCTTGGGGTCAAGGAGCTTTCCGAGGTTCACAGAGGCAGAAAGTGAGAAAGTGGCTGAGGCAGAAATAGCGCAGCCGGGCCTACCTGATTGCACGGAGGTGCCGAGCCCAAGTGACAGCCTCTCTCCACAGGGCCCAGGAGGTGAAGGAGAGCCCATTCTTCCGCTCGCTGGACTGGCAGATGGTCTTCTTGCAGAAGGTAACAGCCGGCATGGGCCGGTCTGGGGCCCCCTGAACCTTTCTCAGTGAATGCTGATGCCCAACCCTGTCCTGTTGCAGTATCCGCCCCCACTGATCCCCCCACGGGGGGAGGTGAACGCAGCCGACGCCTTTGACATTGGCTCCTTTGATGAGGAGGACACAAAAGGAATCAAGGTACCAGGCCCTGCCTGGCTACACATCTGAGCCCTGAACTTGACCTGGGGTGGGGGATCCTTGTTCCTCCTCTGCCCCTATCATAACCTTTCCACCCGAGGGCACAAGTCCCCCTCCCCCAACGTCCCTGGCAGGTGGTTGGACCACGCCATCCCCACCCCAGGGCCTTGGGCAGGCAGGTGGCTGATTATATCCTGGCACCTTCTGTGGCTCCACATGTCCCTGCCCTGTCTGCCTGGTGAAGTTACTGGACAGTGACCAGGAGCTCTACCGCAACTTCCCCCTCACCATCTCGGAGCGGTGGCAGCAGGAGGTGGCAGAAACTGTCTTTGACACCATCAATGCTGAGACTGACCGGCTGGAAGCCCGAAAGAAAGCCAAAAACAAACAGCTGGGCCATGAGGAAGGTGAGGGCTCACTGCCCGCATAGAAATGAGGAGCAGACTTAAGATTAAGGAAGTCTCCCAAGCTGCAGGCACAAGGTGGCCACGTGGGGCTCTAACCTGGACCGCCCTCTATGTCTCGTGGCAGACTACGCCCTGGGCAAGGACTGCATCATGCATGGCTACATGTCCAAGATGGGCAACCCCTTCCTGACACAGTGGCAGCGGCGCTACTTCTACCTGTTCCCGAACCGGCTCGAATGGCGGGGCGAGGGCGAGGCCCCGGTAAGGAGCTGGCTGGGGCACCTCGCACAAGGGTGGCTGGCCAGGCCTGCCCCTCACTGCCTGCCCCCACCCCGCAGCAGAGCCTGCTGACCATGGAGGAGATCCAGTCGGTGGAGGAGACGCAGATCAAGGAGCGCAAGTGCCTCCTGCTCAAGATCCGTGGTGGCAAGCAGTTTGTCCTGCAGTGCGACGTGAGTGGGGTGCTGGGCTGCAGGGGGAGGACAGCAGGGTGCCCGGCTGAGGCTGACGGAGGCTGGGCCCACACAGAGCGATCCGGAGCTGGTACAGTGGAAAAAGGAGCTGCGGGATGCCTACCGGGAGGCCCAGCAGCTGGTGCAGCGTGTGCCCAAGATGAAGAACAAGCCACGCTCGCCCGTAGTGGAGCTGAGCAAGGTGCCGCTCATCCAGCGTGGCAGCGCCAACGGCCTCTGACCCGCCTACCCGCCTGCCCGCCGTCTTTTATAAACCTCTAATTTATTTTGTCGAATTTTTATTATTTGTTTTCCCGCAAAGCGGAAAAGGTTTTATTTTGTAATTATTGTGATCTCCTGTGGCCCCAGCCTGGCCCAGTCCCCAGGGAGGGGCCTGCTTGCCTCAACTCCTGCTGCCACCACCTCAGCCACTGTCCTGCACCCCCCCACCCTGACCCCTGGAGCCACCCACTCCCAGTGTCTTCCTGTGGGGGACAGCAGCAACCCCCCACAGCCTTCCCTGGGGAACAAAGCCACCCTGAGCTGTGCCACCTCAGGCTCTGTGGGCTGTGCTCTGCCCACGGCATGCCTGGGTATCCCAGTGTCCCCTTCCCCTGGAGGGTGCAGTGCAGGGACCCTACTTGAACTTTCTTACCACAGCCCTCCTGCAACAGAGAAACAGCCTGTACTGTCCTGCACTCCGGCCACTGGGGAAAGGAGGGAGTCCCTTGTTTCCTTGGCCTAGAGGCCTCCCATGGGGACCAGTGCTCTTAGGCCTTGGTTCAGGAAAAGCCCCTGTGTCACTGGCTGCCCCCGTTGCCCCATCCCTGGACACTGGGGCTTAGCCAAGGGGGTGGCACTGGCAGCAGCTGCTGCTGTCTTCCCCACAGCCTCCACTCCCTCCCATTGAGCACCAGGATTCAGGACCACAAATGGGCAGCTGCGGATTGGGCCCCACTGGCCTAGCCGGGCCCCTGGCTCCCTGGCCCTGGGCTGGTGAAGCCCCCCTGCCCAGGACTACAGCAGGCCAGCCTGGGCAGGTTGGTAGCACAATGAGAGGGGGGTCCCTGCCCCAGCCGTTCAGTCCCACGGCCATGTCCTGTCAATGCCACCACCCATGGGTGCCACCTCACCCACCGCATGCCCCTTGTGCCAGTTGCGCTGCCGTGTGTGGTGTCGCGCCCCCCCCCCCAGGGGCTGGGTTGGCGCACCCCCTCTTGTTTACTCACTCCCGGGGCGTTTCTTTGCCGATTTTTGAATGTGATTTTAAAGAGTGAAAAATGAGACTATGCGTTTTTATAAAAAATGGTGCCTGACTCCTCGCTGGCTCAGACTCTCTTTGTGCCTGGTGACGACTTTTCAGCCTCCATCTGACTGGGGCTAAAGCAAGAGGGTCGTGTGGCACGGAATCCCCTCTGCTGCCGAAGTGGCCTTCAAGCAGGCCCAGGCCCTCTTGTGGGCAGGATGAGTATACCCCTGTCCGCTTGCCCACAGATGCCTGTCTCACCACGGTGCAGCAGAATGGTGCCCATCCCCCACCTTTCAGGAGAAGGGTGTCTCCTGCCCACTTCCCACGTAAGCAGGAAGAGGTGCCGGCAGTTCCACATTTGGGGTCACATTTGGGCTGACCAGGGCTGTGTCAGCCTTACTGAACTTCCCTTACCCATCAGGCATGGTGCTGAGCTCCCTTGCATACCAAGGCCCAGTTTTATTGGCCACATTGGCTTCTGGACCCTTGGCTGTCTCTGACTTTAGCCTTCCTTCGGGTCTCACTGTCCAGATCCACCATCAGTCTTCTCATCTCCACAGAGCCAGCTCCCTTTTCTCCACATTCTACCTCTTGATCCCTGAAGTGATGGGCAAATGTTTGCCCCTGTCTTCTCTTCCGGTCATGCTGTGCGCAGCAGAGCCCACATGGTACAGAACAGCGGCTGGTCACTTACCAGCGGCTGGTCCCTGGAAGCAGGGACACCAACAAGCTACTACTTCTGTCCAGCAAAGACATCCTCATGACAGTGGTGGCAGAGGAAGAGACAAAAAGGTCAGATGGAAGAACATGGCCTAACGGGAATGGGCTGGGCTCCAGGGTGACAGGATGGGGGTCCAGAGTGGAATGCAAGGTTTGTGGTGCCATCTATAATACAGCAGTGCAGAGGAAAACTGAACATGCGGCTTCATTTGACTTTTGTCATCCTGAAGGCCTAAAGATATTCTGGAGGAGGCATCAGAGTGACCATGGGAACATACAGGCTCTCAGCCAGGGAGAAGCTAGACTTCTGGATCAGGGTGCACCGAGGGACCCTTGAAGAGGAGGGGCAGTTTATGGAAGTAAGGAACTGGTAGGGAGCTGCGTATGAGCGCAGAACTCCAGAGAGCCTGGGTCTGAGAAAGTCCTGCTGGATTTGGGTTTGAAGAGGATGTGGGGAAGAGACAGCCTCTCTGAAAAAGGTGGAAGCCACAGAAGCCTGAGCAATGGCAGCCAGCAGAGGCTGACTTTATAGCTGAGCAGACCTGCAGACATTACAGATGAACTGATGACACCACAGGGTGGGTGGCAGTGATTCCACTGACCACAATAGGGGGAAGGTAAGAGTGGCAGTCAGGCCTCCTAGCTTGGAAACTTGATCATAATAATGTCTTAGAACAATAGGGGACCCTTACACTAGATCTCCAGTACAGTATCTGGTCCATTTACAAACAGGGAGACTAAGACCAGAAGCTCCAATTCAGCAAGCCTAGCTGCACCCTCACTCCCCAATGAAACTGGGGTCACAGCACCCAGACTGGGTCTTTTTGAGCAAAGGGCCAGAACTAAGCCTATTGAGGCCAGCACCCTAGTTCCTGTGTGGGTAGAGGTGATGGTTCTGTTTTGAAACTCTCCTTCCTGTCCTGACATTGGCAGCAGAGTGCAGGCTTTACATAAAGGACCCGTGCAGCGGCAGAGTTCACCGTGGACAGTCCACTAGCAAAGCTGGCGCTTGTTGGGCTTAGGTTCCCTACTCTCCAACACTCCCATTCCAGATTCCAATACCCTGGGGACTGCTGGGTCAGCCTAGCTCATGTGGTGGCCTTCCAACTCTGGCCCAAGTTCTTGGGGGAAGGGGCCTCACACTCAGCTGGATAACATTTAGGGGCAAACTGTTGGGTGCTCATTCTTCAGAGCATTCAGTGGTCTGTATGGGCGGTGAGGGATCCAGGGCCTTCCACCTAACCTGCGCCCACAGGCACAATCTGGACGCAGGATCAGAAATCAGAAGATGGGGCGTGAGCCAGGGTCTACCAAGGAGGCACTGATCACCCACTGGCTATAAGACCACGACCCGCACACACATGACTCAGAGGCCTAGTCTCCTTCCCCTCCCCCACTTTACTCCTCGAAGCCACCCTGCCCCTAGGCTCCCCTCCCTTTCTGGACCTGTATGGAGGGATCTACGCAGGATCGGGGGCGCCCCCCGTAGGCCGAGAACGGAGCTGCATCCAGGCCTCGCCCTCCGAGACGGCACCCACTCATCCCCCAAGACCCTTGCCAACCTAAAGCCCGGGCAGGGACCTTGTCCCGGCTTTTCCCGAACGCACGTGGTTGCCCCGTCGCCTGGGCAGCACCCTCGCCCATCCCCTGCGCGCGGGCCAGATTGCAGTTGCTATGGCTGCGGGAGGGGAGGGGGCGCGCAGCCTGACGCCCCGCCCCGTCCTGGCGAAGCCCCGCCCCCGAGGGCCCCGCACCGCCCTCCTCGCCGTCTGTGCGGCTGCTGCAGCTGCCGCGGATGCGCGGGGCTGCGGAGGGCGCGTCTCGGGCGCGGCTGGGAGCAGAGGTGAGAGGTCCGCGCCAGGCCCGAAGCCGAGAGAGGCTGGGCCACGCCGGCCGTCCTCCCGGGATGCGGCGCTGAGGCCCAGCATGGCCAGCCAGGGCCCCACCTTCCCGCTGCACCGGCTGGTCTGGGCGAACCGGCACCGCGAACTGGAGGCCCTGCTGCACAGTCGCCAGGTGAGGCCCTGCCTGCTGGGTCCCCGCCCAGGGCTATGATCTCGGTCCTCAGCCGCGTCCCATTTCCCAGCTCCCAGCTCCCAGCTCCCAGCTCCCAGCCCGATCAGAAGCCCAGATGACCTGCCCTCCCGCTTGAGCCTGTGGCCGCCTCTCCCAACGCTGGGCCTCATCCCGCGCTCTGCCCGCCTCACACGGCATCACGCTGTCCAATTCACTCATGTCACCACCGAGCAATGCTGATTACAGACCCAAACAAAACTCATGGCCAAACTAATGACATCCCTCACCTGCATCTCTGACCAGTCCCCGCCACCAGAAGGCCAGCACCGCCTGTGGCAGGAGGCAGGAGAGGTGGGCAAGCCTTTCCCATCAGCTCCCTCCCCTCCCTGGCCATATGGGCCACTCTCTGCCATCTCCCTGGCCTGACTGCTGTCCTTATTTCCCATCATGACTCCAGCCCGTCCCACCTCTAGACTCTGCCTTGGCCTCTGCTCTCTTCCCCTGTGCTGAGTGTCCATCTCCCTCAGCACAACATTGAACAGGAGGACCCCAGAGGGCGGACTCCCCTGGAGCTGGCTGTGTCCCTAGGAAACCTGGAGTCTGTGAGAGTCCTCCTTCGGCACAATGCCAACGTGGGCAAAGAGAGCCGCCAGGGCTGGGCAGGTATATGGAGGGCAGGGCTGCTCCCAGCCTGGGAGCGGGGTTGATGAGTAGGAGTGAGTTGCACAGGGCCAGGGACATTGGGAAGACTTCCCTCAGCAGCTGGTGCCCCCAGTCCTGCAGGAGGCAGTCAGCACTGGAGACCCTGAGATGGTGCAGCTGGTGCTTCAGTACCGGGACTTCCAGAGGGCCACACAGAGGCTGGCTGGCATTCCAGAACTGCTCAACAAACTCCGCCAGGTACAGCCAGGCACAGGATGTGTCCAGTAAAGGGGGATGGGGTACCATGGTGGGGACCACCTGGCCCTCAATAAATCTGGGTCCTAGGGCACCCAGCCCATGCAGCACTCTGCCCACCCGGGCCTTGATCCAAAAACAGAGTCTTGTGGATGAGACTGGGCTCTTTGGAATGAAAGCCTTCACCTGCATGGAGGGTCCTAGGTGCCCCAAATCTCTGCAGAGTTTTAGGCTTTGGACCTCCTGGAGAATACCAGTTTCCTGGAGGGAAGCAGTAGAAACAGCCAGGCCCCTGGAATATATAGTTCTGTGCCCTCTCCATCTTTTCTCAGGTGTGTAGAGGGGCCTTGTGGGCAAAGCACACTACCTCATGGCCTCCCAGGGGCAGCCCTGGAGGGTTCATTATGCCCCCTTTACTAATGCAGCCTTAGGAACTCATTGCCCACTCACCTAGTTCCGTGTTTTGTGGCCTGTTGACTGGCCTTATGTCTTCAGATGCTTATGACTTTCATATGTAGACCACACATGACCCCCCTTGGCCCAGCCTCCCTGGGCAGGGTTTGGTTGTGTTGGGACCATAGCTGGGCCATGGGAGTGCAGCAAGATTCCCTTTGGTCTGCCCAAGCATCAGGCCAGGCCCTTACATTGGCTCTGGTCTCTCTCAGGCCCCTGATTTCTACGTGGAGATGAAGTGGGAGTTTACCAGCTGGGGTGAGTGGCGATCACTTGGCTCCCAGAGACATGGAATGGGGTCTTTGGGAAGACCCCTGGTGACCTTGGTGCTCCTCCAGTGCCCCTCGTGTCCAAGATGTGCCCAAGCGACGTGTACCGAGTATGGAAGCGGGGTGAGAGCCTGCGAGTGGACACCAGTCTCCTGGGCTTTGAGCACATGACCTGGCAGCGCGGCCGTAGAAGCTTCATCTTCAAGGGCCAGGGTGAGCTCTGGGACACATGCCAGGGGGCACGCTGGCACCCCCTGATTCTTGGTGGTTTTGGAGGGTGATGCTGTCCTTTCTGCATCATCCAGAGGTGGAGACTGATGTGGGAGTGGAGGGCAATGCAGGGACTGCGGCTGGACCACTGAGCCCCTAGCAGAAGAGGGTAGCCTGCTAGTGGGGCCCAGCACTGACATGTCCCTCCTCCCTGTACCCCTGCCACTGCAGAGGCTGGAGCCCTGGTGATGGAAGTGGACCATGACCGGCAGGTGGTGCACACAGAGATGCTGGGGCTCGATCTGCATGAGCCCGAAGCACTGCTGGCCGCCATGCGGCCCAGCGAGGAACATGTAGCCAGCCGCCTCACCTCCCCTATTGTCTCCACCCACCTGGACACTCGCAATGTGGCTTTTGAGAGGTCAGCTGGGGCCTAGGGCAGCGTGGGTGGGATGAGAGAGGTAGCAGAAACCACAGTGGATGAGACCAGGGCTGTCCGTGAGCCACTGTCACAGGATGGTCAGTCTGGGGGAGGGGTGTCCCTGGCAGCCCTGTGTCCTTCCATGGCGCACTCTTGTGGCAAGCTCGGAGCCTCTAAATACTCGGTGCTGGCTACTGCCCTCCCAGGGAAGGGGCAAGGCCAGGATGTCCTGCATTTCTCTTTCTCCTTTTTTTTTGTCTTTTTTTGTTTTTATCGGTACCAGGGATCGAACTCAGGACTGCCTGCTTGCAAGGCAGGCACTTATGCCACTGAGCTAAATCCCCAGCCCCTTCTCTTTCTCCTTTTTTTCCCCAGTGCTGGGAATGGAACTCAAGGCTGCACACATGTAGTCGAGTGGACTAGTGCTGAACTACATTCCCAGCCACTTGCCTTTTTTTTAAATCAAGGCAGGGCCCTGCTAAGTTGCCTAGTCTGGCCCCAACTTGCAATTCTCTTGCCTCAGACTCTTGAGTAGCTCAGGTCACAGGTGTGTGCCACCATCACTGTGCCTGACTGTCCCTTTTCTTGACTTCTGACTTCACACATTTTCCATAAAAACAAGCACTGAGGCTATGATTCAAGGCTGTGCTGGCTTCTCATTAGCAACAGCCATGTTTGGGGCAGAGTCCTTTCTAGGTAGCCAAGAAACCAAAAGTGTTACTTCTCTAATAACGTATGATCCTGATTGTAGTGTTGTAGTGTCAGGCTTTGGAAACACATTTTTTTTTTAGTCAGAGTCTTGACATGCAGTTTAGGCTGATATTTAACTCACTATGTAAGCCCAGGTTGGCCTCAAACTCATGGTGATCCTCCTGCCTCAGCCTCCCAAGTACTGTATCACCACACCAGCCAAGCCCAGCTCTCAAGAAAAAACTTAAATTATTACTTGTTCCCATCCCCTCCCCTGACCCTAAGCATCTACTAATCTGCTCTCTGCCTCTGTATACCTCTGTGATTTGGACTTTCATATGAATGAAATTTTATTTTTTTTATCAGTACCAGGGATTGAACTCATGACCACACGCTTGCAAGGCAGGTGCTTATGCCACTGAGCTAAATCCCCAGCCCTATGAATGAAATTTTAAAATGTGACCTCTTATGTCTTGGCCTTTTTCACTTAGTATAATGGCTTTTTGTTTGTTTGTTTTGTTTTCTTTTGTTACCAGGGATCAAACTCAAGACCGTGCACTTGCCAGGCAGGTGCTTATGCCACTGAGCTAAATCTCCGGCCCCCTAGTATAATGTTTTTTAAGTTTCATCCAACTCGTACCATGTAATTACTTCGTTCCTTTTTTATGGCCAAATTCAATTGTGTGAACATACCACGTTTGTTTATTCATTAGTCCACAGACAGACACGTAGGTCATTTCTATTATAGTATTTGTCTATTATCAGTAAGGCTGCTATAAACATTTGCATGCAAGTTTTATGTGCACATTTGTTTTCATTTCTTCTGGGTCCGTACATCAGAGTAGAATTACTCTGTCATGTGGGAACTCAATATTTAATTGAGCAACCGCTGAACTGTTCACCAGAGGAGGCGTGCCACTTTACATTTTTCCCAGCAGTGTAGTGTGTGAAGGTTCCAGTTTCTCCATATTCTCACCAATGCTTGTTATTAATTTTTTTTTCTGTTTTGTTTTGGTTTTTGAGACAAGGTCTCACCATGTAGTCCAGAGTGCCTTGAGCTCATTATATAGCCCAGGCTGACTTTGAACTTATGGCTATCCTCCTTCCTGAGCCTCCCAAGTGCTAGGATTACAGGTGTGAACTGCCATGGCTGGCTCATTGTCTATTCATCCATTTTTGGATTATTGCTATCCAAGTGGCAGTGAAGCACATCTCACTGTGATTTTGATTTGTGTTTCCCTAATGACTTTCAATATTGAGCATCTTTTCATGTGTTTATTGGTGATTTATTTCTGTGTCTTCTTTGGAGAAATGTCTGTTCATACCTGTTACCCAAGTTTTTAAACTGGCTTATCTTTTTCTTATTGAACTATGAGAGTTCTCTATGTAGACATGGTGGTCTTTTTTTAAATTTAAATTTATTTATTTATTGTTTGTATTTTTGAGACAGGATCTTGCTATGTAGTTCAGGCTGGCCTAGAGCTCACTTTGTAGCCTAGGCTACAAACTTATAGAAAATCCAGGTTTCGAACTCACAACGATCCTCCTGCCTCAGCCTCCTGAATGCTGGGATTATAGGTGTGCACCACCACGCCTGGCTCTGTGGATCTTTGCACTTTCTTTTTTTTTTAATTTTTTTTTTTTTGTCTTTTTCATTTTTATCGGTACCGGGGATTGAACTCATGACCGCCTGCTTGCAAGGCAGGTGCTTATGCCACTGAGCTAAATCCCCAGCCCCAATCTTTGCACTTTCTTGATGGTGTCCTTTAATTTTGATGCTGATAGTTTATTTTTCTTTAGTGGCACTTATTTATTTATTTTTGTGGTACTGGAGATTGAATCTGGGATCTTCATACTGAGCTATATCCATGGCCCTTTCTTCTTTTTAATTTTGAGACAGGGTCTTGCTGAGTTGCCTGGGTTGGGCTTGAACTTTCAGACCTCTTGCCTCAGCCTCCCAGAGTACCAGGATTACAGCCGTGCCCAGCTTGTGCTTGTTATCTCTAATAATATTTTGTCAAGACTAAAGTCACGGAGATCCCCCCACTCCATTTTCTTCTAAAAGTTTTAGCTCTCACAGTGAAGTCTTCGACCCATTTTGAGTTAATTCTATTTTATTTTATTTTATTTATTTATTTTTTGTCACTTGCTTGTTTTTTTGAGACAGCATCTCATGGTGCCTTATACCTACTGTTCAGCCCAGGCTAGCCTCACAGCAATCTTATGCTAGCCTCCCACATGCTGAGATTTTTTTTGTGTGTTATTGTTTTGTTTTTGTCTTTTTGAAACAGGATTTCACTATGCAGTTCAGGCTGCATAGTTTCAGATTTATAGTTCAGGCTGCATAGTTTCAGATTTACAGAGACCCTCCTACTTCAGCCTCCCAAGTGCTGGGATTACGGTTATGCACCATGACACCCAGCTTCAGACTGTTATTTTGTTGTTTTGGTACTGGGAATCAAACTCACAGCCTTGTGCTTGTCAGACAGGCATTGTACCAGTTGAGCTATATCTCCCATCCCTTCAGACTGGTCATTATGAAGCCCAGGCTAGTTTGAACTCACAGTGATCCTCCTGCCTCAGCCTCCTGAGTGCTGAGATAACAGGTATGCATCACCATACTTGGTTTATTCTTTTTCACTGCTGAAGGTTGATCTCAGCATCTTAACACTGAGCTTTTATAAAAAAATTTTTTTTAGCTAGGCATGGTGGCACATGCCTGTAATCCCAGCACTCGAGAGGCTGAGGCAGGAAGATTGCCGTAGGAGTTCAAGGCCAGTCTGAACTATGCAGTGAGACCCTGTTTCAAAAAAAAAAAAAAAAATTCACCAGGTTCCTGAATTTTCCAAGCTGGGTTCAAATCTGTAACCCCCATGGTGCTGGGATAACAGGCCCATGCCACTGTGCCTCGCTTGCTTTCTCCTTTCTGATTGCTGTGAGTTGAGTCTGTCATTTCCAGTGTGTTCATGGTGAAGGTTAGGTTACTGGTAAGAGAATTCTGTGTGTGTGGTACTGAGGGTTAACCAGGCCCTTCACACTTAGCTGTGTCCTCAGCTCTTTCTTATTTTGCAACAGGGTCTCACTAAGCCTCATGCTGCCCAAGCTGAGCCTGAACTTGAGGATCCTCCTGCTTTAGTCTCCCAGAGTGCTGAGATCACAGGCATCTACCACCAGGCCTCGCTTCTTTGTTTTCAAGTTTTTGGCACGGGGTCTCAGGGTGGCCTCCGCTCAACATGGTTCTCCTGCCTCAGCCTCCTGAGTGCCACCATACATGATTTTTCTTTTCCTTCCTTCCCTTCTTCTTTCTCCTCTTTCTTTCTCTTTGTCTTTCTTTCTCTCGTTCATTCTTTCTTCTTTTGATACCAGGTCTTGCTGTGTTACCCAGACTAGTCTCAGATGATCTTCCCTCCTACCTTAGCCTTCTAAATATAGGTGGGCACCACAATGCCCAACTCCTCTTTCTTTCTTTTTATTTATTTTTATGTTTTGTTTTGTTTTGAGGCAGGGTATCGCTGTGCGGTTCACGCTGGCCTTGAGCTCACTTTGTAGCCCAAGCTGGTCTCGAACTTGCCACAATCTGCCTGCCTCAGCCTTCCAAGTGCTGGGATAACAGGAGTGCACCACCACGCCCGGCTTGCTTGCTTGCCGGGATCAAACTCGTGACCTCATACTTGCCAGGCAGGTGCTCATGCCACTGAGCTAAATCACTGGCCCCCAACTCTTTCTTGCAGCAATTTACAGCTATAAATTTCCCACTCGGTCTGGCATTAGCTGTGCCCTGTTGTGATATGTTGCGCTTTCATTTCTGTTTATCTCAAAGTATTTTCTGACTTTTTTTATTCTTTCAACTACTTTCCTCACATTTGTAAGTTCCTAAGTTATTTTTTTCTTTTCTTTTCTTGTTTGTCTTTTTCCTTTTTATCGGTACCAGGGATCGAACTCACAACTCCCTGCTTTACAAGGCAGGCGCTGAGCTATGCCGCTGAGCTAAATCCCCAGCCCCAAGTTATTTTTTTCTAATTTCATTCCATTGTGGTTGGAAAACATACTTTGTGTGCCTTCCGTCCTTTGAATCTTATTGAGGTTTCTTTTATCACCCACCATATGGTTTGTCCCAAAAAATGTCCCATGTGCACGCGAGAATTGTATTGTTTTATAGCTGGGTGGTGTGTTTCCCAAATAGCTATAAAGTCTAGTTGATGCTGTTGTTCATTTTTTCTGTTTCTTTGATCTTTTGTCTGTGTGTTTTACTCAGAAGTAAAAGTGGGCTATTGAAGTCTCCAGCTGTCATTTGGAATCGACATACTTTTACCTTTTCGTTATGGAAAATTTCACATGGGCTGGGGATGTGGGATGCTCCTGGGTGGTAGAGCACTTGCCTGGCACACACAAGGCCCCAGATTCCATCTCAGGCACTAAAAAAATTAAAAATAAAAATTCAGATGTACATGGAAGAAGAGCTAAATCCCTGTCCCTGTCCCTTCCCATTTTAAAGCACACCCCAGGTGTCAGACCTTGTCAACAGTGAATGTTTCTGCACACAAAGAAAGATGTTTTCTAATCCAGCCCAGACAGCATTATCACATCTGATAAACTTCCTCAGGATCATCTAGGCCCCGGCCTTGTTCAGATGGCCCCAGATGGCCCCATCCGCAAGGCCCCTCTGAGTTCCTCCCTGGGAAGGGACCCAGCACGCCGTCCTCACCAGCTCCTGTTTGGTCTGTCACAGGAACAAAAGCGGTATCTGGGGATGGCGGTCTGAGAAGATGGAGACTGTCAGCGGCTACGAGGCCAAGGCAGGAGAGGCCAGTGATGGGGGCTGGGGTAGCAGACGAGGCCCAGGAGTTCAACTCCTTTTCCACACCCATGCCCAATGTGGCAGGAGAGGCGGAGTAGTGCCAAACACCCATGGGAACTCATTGGGGCCTGAGGGCCCTGCTGAGCCCCACCTCCACCCCGACCAAATTTGCTTATTGGGTGACTCCTGGGGTTCAGACCCTGCCACCTCCTCCACTGTGGGGAGTGAGCCCACCTGTCTCTGGGGTCCTGTGCTGGTGAGGCTGAGTGTGGGGAACAGGCTCTCAACCCCCAGCTCTCCCTGTCTCTCCTGCTCCCCAGGTATACAGTGCCACCAACGTGGAGCTGGTGACACGCACACGCACAGAGCACCTCTCTGATCAGGACAAGTCGAGGAGCAAAGGTAAACCCAGGTGCGCCTGCCTGCTGCCCAGAGTAGTCCCAGAGAAGCTAGGAGGATTTCCATCCTCTTTGTCCCTCTGTCCCCCAGCAGGAAGCTCCCAAGTGGGGAGCAGGGGGTGGGGCAGGCTGGGCTGTGGCCCACAGTCCCCTCACGGCCCCCTCCCTTCTCCTCAGCGGGGAAGACTCCTTTCCAGTCCTTCCTGGGGATGGCCCAGCAGCACTCCTCCCACAGTGGGGTGAGTAGGGGCTGGGAAGGGCCAGGCCAGAGGGGGGCAGGGCATCATCTGTCCATCCTGAGGCTAAGTGTGGTTCTGGGGCCCACCCAGGCTCCTGTGCAGCAGACAGCCAGCCCCACCAACCCCACAGCCATTTCCCCTGATGAATACTTTGACCCCAGCTTCAGCCTGGAGTCCAGAAACATCGGCCGCCCCATCGAGATGTCCAGCAAGGTACAGAGGTAAGGTTTGGGGGCTGGCTGGGGACTTCCTTAGGGACAGGGGCCCCACAAGCCTTTGCAGCCCCCTGTCACTGTGATGGACCTGCTCATCTAACAAGCTTCTGTCTGGATTCTGCTCTGGAGGGCAGCAGCCCCGTGTCTTATCCATGGTCCTAAGCACCAAGCATGCTCTGTGACCCAGTGTCAGTCACAATTCTTTGGTGAAGGGCCGGGGATTTGGCTCAGTGGTGTAAGTGCCTGCCTGATGAGCACAAGGTTGTGAGTTTGATCCCAGGTACAAAAAAAAAACAAAACCCAAAACCTGTAATTCTTTGATGAACCAATGAATAAATGAATGGGTGGCACCATCCTGTATGGTTTTCTAATTTGGTGAGCATGTGCTGGAGGCCAGGCAAGACAGAATGGGAAGGGCATAGAGCTCTGCCATCCTGGCCTCTGGGGCAAAGAAAATATCTTCCCTTCCTGGAATCTGATTTCCTCTTCAATGAAATGAAGTCATACTTGCCCTCCCACCTCTCAAAGGACCTGTGGCCAGTTGACTTATACCAGGCCCAGCACTCTCCAGGCTACCTTATGGATCTGCTCAGCCAGGCCGGAATTCAGGCTTTAGGAGTCCTGACCCCAGGGCTGAGCTATTCAGCAAAGTGTGCAGCAGTGGCCGGCTCTGTGCAGAGGAGGAAGATGAGGCTGCAGATGAGGCACAGAAAATGGCCCACAAGGGCCAGGGATTTAGCTCAGTGGCGTAAGTGCCTATCTGGCAAACATGAGGTCATGAGTTTTGATCCCCAGTACCAAAAAAAAAAAAAAAAAAGGCCCACAGCCTGGCCCCTGCTGTCCTCACTCAGACCAGATAAACTGACAAAACCATCATGGGTACCAGTGTAGCCCTAGGTTCTGGGACACCAGCCACAGGGTTAGGATACAGGTTACCAGGGGAAGCAGGCAAGGGCAGCTGAGCAGAGAGGATGGTACCCCAGGCAGGTGACCAGAGGTGGTGGGCCTCAATGGGAAGGCCACCAGAGAGTCCCTAACCCATGTCCTGTGGTTGGCTGGACAGATTCAAGGCAACACTATGGTTGAGTGAGGAGCACCCACTCTCCCTGGGTGACCAGGTGACACCCATCATTGACCTGATGGCCATCAGCAATGCTCACTTTGCCAAGTTGCGTGACTTCATCACCCTGCGCCTTCCCCCTGGCTTCCCCGTAAAGATTGGTGAGGGGGCATCCTGGGGCAGTGGGATGGGGTGCCCCAGGGAAGGAGGCCTATAAGGGTCAAGTGGCTCAGGCCTGGCTGTCTCCCTAGAGATTCCCCTTTTCCACGTGCTCAATGCCCGAATCACCTTCAGCAACTTGTGTGGCTGTGATGAACCCCTGAGTTCGGTGTGGGTGCCAGCCCCCAGCTCTGCCCTTGCTACTTCAGGTACCCCACACGGGGCACAGAGGGAGGCTGTGTGGCTCTCTAGGGGCTGAAGCATAGGAGCTGAGTGTGGTCCCTCTTCTGCCTCCCCAGGGAACCCCTTCCCATGTGAGGTGGACCCCACTGTGTTTGAGGTCCCTGAGGGATACAGTGTCCTGGGTGCTGAGCGTAGTGAGCCCCTTCGAGACGAGGACGATGACCTGCTACAGTTTGCCATCCAGCAGAGCCTGCTTGAGGCGGGCACGGAGGCAGAGCAGGTAGGGCTGTGGTGGGGTGGGGGGTCCTGGCCTCTGCAGCCACAGGGCCAAGGTGACAGCTCTGGGTTCTGGCTGCTGCAGGTGACTGTCTGGGAAGCTCTGACCAACTCTCGGCCTGGTGCCCACCCTCCTCCCCAAGCCACTGTGTATGAGGAGCAGCTTCAACTGGAGCGGTGAGGCCCTATGGGACCCACCAGGTCCCTGCCTCAGCCCCGTGGGTCTGAGCCTCCAGCAGTCCCCTGGCTAGTGGGTAGCCCAGAGGTGCTGCTCCTAGGACCCTGTGTCTTCTCCAAAGCCACCGTCCAGCAGTGGTGCTGCCCGCCACCAAAGGTGGCATGAGGGACAGAGAGATAGGTCCTGCTTGTCCTTTCTCATCATTGTCCTAATTCCCCAAAGCTATGCACCCCACCCCTTTTCTCCTCCCACAGCCTTCAAACTTTGGTCTGCTCTCTCCTCTCACTCCTGTCTGGAGGGCCCTCCAGGAAAGCCTGCAGCTGTCCACAGAGACCAGGGTCCCTGGATCCCCCGAGAGGACACTCTCGTCCCTGGCTCCTCCGAGCTTTGAGGAGCAGCTTCGCTTGGCCCTTGAGTTGTCCTCTCGGGAGCAGGAAGAGCGGGATCGTCGGGGGCAGCAGGAGGAGGAGGACCTCCAGCGGATCCTGCAGCTGTCGCTCACCGAGCACTGAGCCACATGGCCCTTGGAGGGCTAAGGCCACTTCCTCCGCCCACTTTTATAATTTATTTATTTATAAACTGTCTGCTGCTGGACTTGGGGCCTGGAGCCCAGGGATGGCTGGCAGAGGCACTGAGATGGAAATAAAGAGTCTATTAGCAGCAGGCTTGCTCAACTCAAGCTGGGGGCTCTCGGGTGGGAAGCACTGAGGAAGACAGCATGGGCAGTGACCTCAGAGCTGGCTTTGGATCCTAACTATGGCCCCTTTAGCTTCTCTGAACTTCTGTTTCTTGGACTGTAAAATAAGGAGACAGCCCTCACACCCGGGACTGTGTGTTGGGAAGGTGAAAGGAACCAACATCAGGTGCTGTCCCCTGCGCCCTGCCCACCTACCGGGGACCCACGTCCCTATCTTCTGACCTGGCGTTCTAGGATCCTGGTAAAGATAAGGTGGGGTCTGCAGACCCTACTCACAGCCCCCATCCCTGTAGCCCAAGCTCAGCTTCCTGCCCTTACTCCAGTGTGTTCTAACAGGTGACAGTGCCTAAGTTACTTCCTCAGCAGTAGCTGGGAACCGGCTCAGCCCTCCCCTCCTGGCCTTGAACACGGATTTGAGACTCCTCTGTGAGGTTCCTAGGCTATCCTCCTGCCCCTAGCCATCCGTATTGGGGACTGAACCCAAGACCTTCAAGCTGAGCAACTCCCTTTCCCATTTTTTATTTTGAGACAGGCTGTGTAAGATCCTCCTGCCTCAGCCTCTAAGAGTGCTGGGATTAGAGGCCTGCACCACCATGCCTAGCTTCCTGGGCTACTTCTATGCCCCACCCATTTTGCCCTGAAGTTTGCTGTGTCCCAAAGATTCATGCAGAATTGGAGACATTAAGGCCAGCCAGCAAAAAACATTTTGGGGTGAGGGTTCCTGATTTAGGACCCACTTTACCTGATCCTAAGACCTGCCCCATCCTAGGGTCCTACTTCTGTTGATCTGTTATGGCCCAAAGAGGCTCGGGCGCAGGTGATCCAACTGGGCGGGGCAGGGAGTGCTGGGCCACTTCCTGGGAGGAGAGGCAAACCAGAGAAGAAGTACCAAGTTGGGAATCCGCACCTGCGCCCCGCCCTCAGCCCGCCTCCAGCGTGGATGGGGCGGGGCGAGGCGAGCCACTAGGGGCGGGCCGTGGTCCCTGCGTGCGGCCTCCGCAGCCAGGGCTGGCCGAGAGACTGGCCCTTTAAGGGCCGCCCCCGAGGAGGTGCCAGGCTCTGGCGGCTCCTCTCTCCTTCCTGGTCCTGCGGGGCAGGGACAGTCCTGGGGCTGTGGGAGGGGGCCCTGCCCAGTGCCCGCCCAGACGCCCCCGTCTAACTCCATGGCCCTGGTCACAGTGAGCCGCTCGCCACCGGCCAGCGGCCACTCCACGCCTGTGGGGCCCGCGGTGAGTCTGGCTTGGTCCCATCACGCAGTTAGCTGCCAGCTGGGCCTGGGGGGTCGCGTCTGCCCACGGTAGCCTCTGCTCACTCTTGGGGTGGGCAGGGGGGACCTCGAAGCTTAGACTCGAGGGGGTTGGGGTCGTCTTGGGGATCCTAGGAACTCGACCAGGGCGAGATCTGGAGTGTTGAGCGCCAGCCCCGTCTGTGGAGGCCCGGATCCACGCAGCTTTCCCACGCCTTCGGCATCCCCAGCCCACCTGTCCCGCCACATCTGGACTTGGGCTGGGCTGGAGCTGGGCTCCCCAGGGCATGCTGGTCGGGAGGGGGTGGGGGGAGAAAGGAATTGGCATCTGACACCTCCCCTCCCCCCTCACAAGGGCTGGGCGTTCCCTGCTGCTGCCCCCCACTTGGAGCCCCTGGAGAAGGGGATGGGAGGAGGCGAGAGCTCCCCGCCCTCACTCCCCGCTGGGGGCTGCTTCCTCAGCAGGACCCGGCAGCCCGGCGCAGAAGCCAGCTCCAGCGCAGGTTAGCACCTCTCCTGAGATAGACGCCTCCGTCTAGCCCCCAGGACTGGCTACTCTCATCCAGGTGTTGGGAACAGAGGGCATCCTGCAGGGCCAAAACTCTGCAGTCCATAGGTGGGCCCTGGTTCGGGTGGGCTGGGCTGCTGGGTCCTGCTGGCATGTGACCAAACCCAAGAATTGCCCTGGCTTCCACCTTCCCCTGGTCAGCTGGTGCTCCCTTTACCCACTACCCAGGACACTGACTCAGGCCAGTAGCCATAAGCCAAAGAGCAGGATGGGACGGCAGGGGCTAAGGACTCTTGGATCCCCAGTCAGCTTTATTGTGCCTCCAGGTGGGCTGGCAAGAGGTCTGGCCAGGCCAGCTAGAGGGAGGGGTTTGAGAGCCTAAGGCTTGTTCTCTAGATGTGGTTATCATCTCTGGCCCCTTGGTTATCCACTCTCCTGCCCTCTGGGGATGGGCCAGCGATCCACAGTGACATGCCTCCATGGGATTCAGACACTCCCTAAAGTTTGAGAAGCCCAGGCTGTAACGATTCCCCATGGCCCTGCCAGGCAGAGCTTTGCAGTGCTCCGAGGAGCTGTCCTGGGACTACAGGATGATGGCAGGGACAATGGTGACATACCTGACGCCAGCTCTGAGCCAGTGGTGGAACTCGCTGGTGAGGAGCAGCCCCAGGGGGACCAGCCAGATGGGCAAGGGCCCCAGAGTCCCAAGAAACAGGAGCAGAGACAGCACCTGCACCTCATGGTGGAACTGCTGAGGCCACAAGATGACATCCACCTGGTAAGGGGTCCCCCAGAGCCCATCAGAAGAGGGATGGGGGGCTGTGTGTCTGGGGAGCAATGGTGTGAGAGCAGGGGGCACCCTGTGCAGGAGAGGTTACCCAGACCCCACGAGCCTGCTGTTTCAGGTAGACATCCTAATGGGTAGGCCATGTCTGCAGCTCTGGGGAGCTGGGAAAGGACAGGGAGATTAGTCCTGGGTACCAAATCGGGCCAAGTTAGGTCCGTGGTATGGGAGTCACATGGAGGGTCACTATTCAGCTAGGGGAGAGATGGCAAGGTGTCCACAAGGCACCTGCCAGTGGCTGGTGTGCTGTAAAGGCCAGGCAGAGGGAGGGAAACCGCTACAGGGTGGTGGCCTCCAGGGGCGCCTGAGGGCCTGCTCCCAAAAACCTGTGGAGACACCTGCTGTCAGCAGCACAATGTGACAAAGATGTGCTCTTTCCCAGAGCAAGGTTTTGAACAGAAGCACTGAACTGTGCTGTAAGATTAGGTCCTTAATATTTCTTTGAAGATAACTTTTAATATTTATTTAACAGTGCTGGGCATGGATCCCAGAGCCTCATATATGCTAGGCAAGCACCCAGGCATGATAAGCATTTCTTGAATGAAATGATGGTAACAGTAAGCGATAAGATCTTTAAAAACCTCATTCCTAGGCAAAACCAAAAATCCAGCCACTGTCAGTTCTGTTCCCCTTATTTGTCCATACACTCTCCCTTTAAGAGTCATTAATCTTTGTACTCCGAAGGTTGAGGCAAGAGGGTCAAAAGTCCAAGCCCAGCCTGGGTAATTTAATAGGAAACTGTCTCAAAATAAAAAGTTTAAAAAGGACTGGGGATGTAGCTCAGGGTGAAGGACCTGGGTTCAATTCCCTAGTACAAAGTAAAAATAATAATAATTGGACCATGAAATCCAAATGTTGGGGACTACTGGATTGGGGCCACTGATCTTTGCGGGGGCTGTTCTGCCCTGCAGTGTGTCCAGGTTGGTGGAGTAGAAGCAAGGTTCTCACCATAATGCTGGGCTCCTCCCCCTATCCTCCCAGGCAGCCCAGCTGGAGGCCGCCCGACCCCCAAGGCTCCGATACCTGCTGGTGGTTTCCACGAGTGAATGTGTCAATCAGGAGGAGACAGTCCTCCTGGGTGTAGATTTTCCTGATGGCAGGTAGGGGTGAGGAGAGGAGGGGGAGGGGCAAGGAAGGGAGGTGGGGGCAACAACTCTCCCTGTAATCTCTCCCAGCTCTCCCAGCTGCACCCTGGGCCTGGTCTTACCCCTCTGGAGTGACACCCAAGTGTTTCTAGATGGAGATGGGTGAGTCGTGACGATGGGAAAGGAGGGGCCTGGCACTGGGGAATAGCAGGACTGGAGCTGGAGAACTGGGGTCTACCTCAGCTCTAGCTCAGATTCGCTGTGTGATCCTGGGCAAGTCACCTAACTTCTCTGGACCTCAGCCTCCAGACGTGTGATGGAAGGGCAGGTTCTCTGTCTGTCTGAGAGCCTAACATTGGTTCCATGGCACCCGTCTCCTACAGGGGCTTCAGTGTGACATCTGGAGGGCAGAGCCGAATCTTCAAGCCCATCTCTATCCAGACCATGTGGTAAGTACAGCAAGTCCCAGCCTCCTTCTAGACAGATGGCTACAGTACCTGGTGAGGGCAGCAGGGAGGACAGTGTGGCCGTTTTCTACTCCTGTTCCAGGGCCACTCTCCAGGTGCTGCACCAGGCGTGTGAGGCAGCTCTAGCCAGCGGTCTTGTGCCTGGTGGGAGTGCCCTCGCATGGGCTGCCCACTACCAGGAGAGACTGAACTCTGACCAGAGCTGCCTCAATGAGTGGACGGCCATGGCTGACCTGGAATCCCTGAGACCCCCCAGTGCGGAGCCTGGCCGGTCAGTGTGGGTGGGGACTTTGGTCAGGGGAGGGAGAGGGGTCTCCCAGCAGAGAGGAAAGGGGCCCTTGACACAGGGGCTCTGCTCCCAGGCCCTCAGAGCAGGAACAGATGGAGCAGGCGATCCGGGCCGAGTTATGGGAGGTGCTGGACACCAGTGACCTGGATAGCATCACTTCCAAAGAGGTGGGCAGGGTGGGCAGTGGACCAAGATGTGGGACTCCCTAGCCAGGGCAATGGGATTCCCTCTCTGTAAAGTTCTTCCTGCCTTGCTGTCCTCTGGTCCTGAGCCACTCCAATACCTTGGCCTTAGCTCTGTCTAGATGGGACAGGGTACTGTTGTTGGAGGCCCCAGAGGGAAAGGGACCAGGACTTCTCCCCTGCCCCTGCCTGCAGATCCGCCAGGCCCTGGAGCTGCGCCTGGGGTGCCCTCTCCAGCAGTACCGTGACTTCATCGACAACCAGATGCTGCTGCTCATGGCTCAGCAAGACCGTGCCTCCCGCATCTTCCCCCACCTCTACCTGGTGAGCATGGCTGTTTGGGAAGGGCCCAGAGTGCCGTGGCTGCTGGTGAGAGGCACGGGGAGGTAAGAGAGCCTGGTGCTTCTCTCCCTCAACCCCACAGGGCTCTGAGTGGAATGCGGCCAACCTGGAGGAGCTACAGAGAAACAGGTGGGGTTCCAGGCCTCTCTCCCTTTCCTTGGTCTCCTACAGAGGCTTTCCTGCAGATTTAGGACCCCCAACCACTCTCAGCAGCACCCCCTAGGGTTTTTGCCCTTACATGGGTTCTCAGGCCTCATCAGGACAGAAGCTGCTGCCCACTGGCCAGCCCCTGGGCTTCTGTTTCCCCTGTCCCCATAAACAAGTCTGGAAGCCAGGGCCTTGACCATACTCAGAGAAGGGGCAGAAGCACCTGCTGCTATACCAGCTGGCCATGTCTTAGACAAGAAGGGTGTTCTTCTCCAAGGGGAGAATTGACTGCCTACTTTCAGGGCTACCTGTCATCTGTCCAAAGCTTTGTGGGAGACCTGCTATAGCCTCTGCTGCTGCAGAACCACCCAAGCTCAGTTTAGCAAAAAAGCTGTTCTTCAGCTAAATTGGCAATATAGTAGAAGGATCTGTGTTGCAACTGCCTGCAGTTACCTGGACTAGGTGGGAAACTCAAGCCTAGCAAAGTAAAATGATGTGCTCAAGGTCTGACACCTGGTTCAGTCCTCCTCCCTGCAGCCTAACTCAGAAGCGAAGACTAGACAGAAATGCCCACAGTCTGCGGGTCTGCGGGCCAATGTGCCTGGTGTCCCTGCCCACATCAGTCTGGCCTTGGGCCCTCTGGTACAGGGTCAGCCACATCTTGAACATGGCCCGGGAGATCGACAACTTCTTCCCTGACCGCTTCGTCTACTACAATGTGCGCCTCTGGGATGAGGAGTCAGCGCAGCTGCTGCCCCACTGGAAGGAGACTCATCGCTTCATTGAGGCTGCGAGGTCAGGTCTCAGAGGCTGGGTCCTAACTGCATGCCGGCCCTGTGCCTTCATCCTGCCCAACCTACACTGAGGCCCCATCCCGCCTCCGACCTTGGGTGTCCTCACTTCCTTCCCCTCTCTGACCTCCTCTGTGCTGCTGCTGTTCAGTGTGGGAGGGCTGGGGCTGACTGTGTTCTGCCTCCGCAGAACCCAGGGCACCCGGGTGCTGGTTCACTGCAAGATGGGCGTCAGCCGCTCGGCTGCCACGGTATTGGCCTATGCCATGAAGCAGTATGGCTGGAGCCTGGAGCAGGCTCTGCTGCATGTCCAGGAGCTCCGGCCCATCATCCGCCCCAACCCCGGCTTCCTGCGCCAGCTGCAGACCTACCAGGGCATCCTGACTGCCAGGTATGGTGGGAGCAGTGGGGCATGCTGGGGGGTTGCTGTGTCCCCTAAAGCTGACGCAGTTACCTCTTTGCAGCCGCCAGAGCCAGGTCTGGGAGCAGAAAGTGGGTGGGAGCTCTGCAGAGGAGCCCTTGGCCCCTGAAGTCTCTATATCACTCCCGCCACTCCCACCAGAACTGGGGGGCAGTGGGGTGGCGAAGGTTACAGGCTTGGAAGAGAGCCAGGCAACCCCAAAAGAAGAGTCTGGGCTGCGGCCCCGAATCAACCTCCGAGGGATCATGCGATCCATCAGTCTCCTGGAGCCCACTTCAGAGCCGGAGAGTACCTTGGAGGAGGCTAGTAATCTGCCAGAGGTGAGGCTGGGCTTCGGAGTGCCACAGGTGGGGGCAGGGCCACAGGGAGGTGGGTGCATGGGAACGATCAGTACCCAGTCCACAGTGGCCTTACTCAGGGTCCCCTGGCGCTCAGGACCTGTGGGGGCCTGCTCCTTGCTCCCTCCATACTGTCACCTTGACACCTCTCAGCACCAGGCAACCCCAGCTTGCCCTGTGAGCACCCTGAGGCCGGGAATCATGTCCTGGACATCTCCCTTTCATCTCACAGAGTGGCCAAGGAGACCAGTGAGGGCAGGCGAGGTCACTGAACCCAGTATCTGAGGAGCCGCAGTCAGGGAGCAGGGGCAAGCTCACCCCGGCCTAGGTCACAGGCAGCTTCCAGCTTAACTAAGGGACTCACTTTCTATGGGGCTGGGCCCCCAGCCATGGAGACACCTCCTACCCTAGATGGGGGATAAGATGATCACTGAGGCCCTCCCAAATCTAGGGAGCCACATGGCAAAGGATGGGGTGTCAAGGCCTTAGCACTCACACTACCCAGTACTGACTGAGTTGAGGGAGCACCCTGTGGGCTGAGTGCTGCAGGGAACAGGCTGACAGGAAGCTGGCCTTGCCTAAGGAAGCCAAGCCCCACCGTGATGAGGCTGAATGGCTTGCCTTGGAGGAAGGAGAGTCTGCTGAGTGGGCCACACTGGGGAAAGGCTTCCTGGAGGAGGCCCTGAGCGTGAGCGATAGGGAGGCATGCAGTGTTGGTGCCCACTGCAGTGGGTAGAGGCATGTGTCCTCACTGGGCACCAGACACACACGTCACATGACCCAGCTCAGGCCCAATGCCTAGAGTTTCATTGGTGCTCACTGGGCTAACTGTATACAAAGGCAGAAGGGTTAAAGGAGGAGAAGAGGCTGACAAGAGAGCTGGTGGCAGGTGAGGGAGGCTGACGGAGGGGCAGAGGGAAGCTGTACCTGGTGAGGTCAAGGAGCACAGACAACAGAGCTGGGTGCTGTCTTCCCTTCTCTGGAAATGTGGTCTGAAACCAGTTCAGTCTCTCTGTATTCATTCAACAAACACTCTGCCCCTACCCTTCTGGCTCTGAACTCACCATGGCGTTTCTTCCTTACCTCCTCCCCTACCCAGGTTTTCTCCTCCCATGAGTCTTCCGATGAGGAGCCTCCACAGCACTTCCCTCAGCTCCCAAGGCCCGAGGGAGGCCCCAGGGTCCATAAGGGGCCTTGGCCTGCCCTGAAATCCCGCCAGTCTGTGGTTGCCCTCCAGACCGCTGCCCTGGTGGCCAGACGGACTCAGGCCTTCCAGGAGCAGGGGCGGGGAGAGGCTGGCCTGTCCTCCACAGGCAGGCTCCGGAAGATGGTGAGGCAGGCCAGTGTGGATGACAGTGGAGAAGAGGGTGGGGCCTGAGCCCTCACACATACTCACATCCCCCTAGACACTAAAACGGGTGATCCACGGCTCCTGGAACAAGTTCCTCACACCCTCTGTGGGCCCCAGACCCCTGTCTCCACAGTCTCACGTCCCACCACCTTACATCTCAGACCACGTCCTGTCAAGGGCTCAAGACTTCCAGGGGCTGGGGGTTTAGCTCAGCGGCATAAGTGCCTGCCTTGCAAGCAGGCAGTCATGAGTTCGATCCCCAGTACCGATAAAAAGGAAAAAGACAAAAAAAAAAAAAAAAAGATTTCCTCTACACTGGGGATGTGGTAGAGCTACTAAAGGTGCCTTTGGGGATGAGACCACCCTGGTTTTACTCTCAGCTTGGCCTAAAACACTTGCAGCCAGAAAATCAAAAAAAAAGAACTTTTCATGGCAGTTTTCCTGGCTCACCCTCCTAATCCCCCCACTTTCCCCCATTTCACTCCGGGAGTCATCCAGGCCAGAGATCATGGCCCCCAAAGGCAGACAGAACCTTTAGGGCCCTGCCCTGGAGGCTCTGGGAACATTGCCAGGTCACCTCCCTCACACACCTCACAAATGGCCCCCACTGCCCCCAGTCCTCCCACGGCCCACACTGGGTCACAGGGCACCTGGCCAAAGTCTTGTCTTTCATGGCCTCTGGCCAGGCAGTTTTTCATGTTCTTATAGTATCTGGCTTTATACTGAGAAATAAAAAACATTTTCATAGTAAGTGATTTTCCACTTGATCATAAGGCCATCTGTCTTTCAATCAGATCCTTCTTTGTTTTTCCAGGAGGTGTGCAGCCTGTCCCACTCCTGCGTTGTCCCACGTATCCATAAAGGATCTGTCTGGGGGAACCACAGTGTTTGGGGGGTGGGGTGGGAGGAAGAATGTGGAGGAGTGGAGAGGACCAGCTATCTACCTCATCTCCAGGGCGGGGCCTGGGTAGGTGCTGGCTGATGGGAACAGGTCTACCAGTCTACCTGGGGCATAAAGTGTTGGGCTGTGTTGGCACAGCTGAAGGGAGTGACCCATGAAGAAATGGCAGCTGCTGTTTCCGCCTATCGGGCAAGACCAAGCCTGTTCCAAAGCCAACACTCCCTTAGGATACCTGATGCTAGTTCTCAGGGGTATTTTGAGTACCAAGCATCATCTTCCTCCTGCTACCATGAAAAGGACCCTTAGTAACCCTCCCGTCCCATCTCAGGGTTTCTTCTGTTCCTTTTAGTGTTTCGAGAAGAATCAGTGCATCTGTCTCTGCCACACTGTGGTGGCTTGTGGGGAAAAGGGTGCTACTTGACTCCCTGAAAGCAGGCCTCAGAGGTAAGAGCTGGCTCTCTGACAGAGGCAATGTGCCCAGTATACCCTGGGGGACTCCCAGCACTCCTGTAACCACAGTGCTGAAATTTGGATGCCAGCCATGGCTTCACCGCTTCTAAGCTGCTTTACCTTGAGTCTCTTCTCTCTTTCTGTAAACAAAGGGATTCATTAGACGAGGCAAGCCCTAAGCACCCTCCCCATTTTTTTTCTTTTTTATCCAGACACATCATTTATCCATTGCTAGAATTCAGCTGTATGTGCTATCCAGAAGAGGACTCATTTGCACCTGTCTGGGTGGCTCACCCAGGGGTCACAGGGTCGGGGAGGGGTATACAGGAAAGCTGGTTTCTGTTTCTAAGCCACTCTACTGAGCAGCCAACCAGGAGTCCCTCCAGAGCACCCCTTCTCCTGGCCTGGGGCTGCAGGTGGATTGGGGTCACCATGCCAGGATGCAAGCCAAGACCAGGCTCTGCCTCCTTTGGCTTTGACAGCCTGAAAGGCGAGATCCAATCATGAACTCAGAGCTGCCCCCCTCCTTAAGTGGATTCTTACAATGAGGAGTCCAAGAATTTAGCAGTAGGGAAGAACAAGCAGTGGAAGGGAAACTGTTTGCATCAAAAACATAAATAATTAAGATCCATATATAATATAAAGCTCACACAAATTGCTAAGGAAGCAAAAATTAAGGATTTAAAACGAAGTCTTCTATCCTGGCTTCTGCTCCCTCACTCCTATCTTCATACAACAACTGCAGCTTGAGGTCCTCCAAAGCCCCTCCATAAAAGAAAAAGAAGCCATCCCCATGCTTATGCAGTGAAGTAACACTAGTGTGTGTATTCTTTTAAAATTCACTTAAAATATAAATGACAGCATGTTCACATACAATGCTTTGAAAAATTCTCACGAGTTACATATGGATACATAAAGATTTATCTCATTTTTAAAATAACCACACACATTCCATTCATGGAACCCACATTTATTTTAGTGGTCACTTACTGAAGGACATTTGTTTACATTGTAAAAAATCTCACTCCAAATGTCTCATTAAGTACTCTGGTATATAGCTTTTTATGTGCATATGGTAACTGCACTTAAAGGACATATTTCTAGAATTGCTAGAGCAAAGGTAACGTGCCTTTTTTATGTGGTGAAGCTTATTTTTCTTGCATGAATCTCCACCAATTAGAGTGAATAGGAGTGCCTGGCTGCATCCTTAGCCTGCACATCCAGTCATTACCTTGCAGCACTCCCAAAGGAAGAAAGGGCAGGCTTTACAATTACCACCGTTTTTACTTTTTATTAAATCAAAATTTAATGTTGGACATAGTGGTGCAAACTTGTTAACTCCAGAACTTTGGAGAGAGGCTGAGGCAGGAGGATTGCTGTGAGTTCATGGCCAGCCTGAACTACCTAGTGAGATGGTCTCAAAAACACGTCCCCTCCAAAAAAATTCATTACCCAATGTTTATATCATACTAGAACAGGTCCTTTGGAGAAAGAACATGGCTTTCACTGCCAAACAGTCATCTCTCATTATTTAAATTTCTTTCAAGTCTCCTAATAGGTGTCACCACCATTCCAATAATATTCTGTTGCTCACTAGTTGCTATTCTTCTATCAAGAGATTCATAAAGGGGTCAGATTCCCACACTATTCTTTGGACATGTCAGCCACCATTTAATTTCAATAATAACTTCTTAGATGGATGTGGTGGTACACCCCAGTATTGCATTCCAGCACTTTAGGAGGCTGACATAGGAGGATCATAAACTCGAGTCCAGGTTGAACAATTTAGCAAGACTCTGCTCCAAAATATTTTTTTTTTAAAGCCAGTCAAATTTAGCAGTGCGGGGGGGGGGGGTGTATACCAACTTTAGTGACACTAATGTTAGTAAGTTCTGATAACCCACTGTCATCGGACCAGCCTCTGCTCCAAAATTTAAATAAAATTTTAACTGGGTGTGGTGGCGCTGTAATCCTAGTGCTCAAGAGGCTGAGGCAGGTGCATTGCCAGGGGTTCAAGGTCAGCCTCAACTATATCATGAGAGCTTGTCTCAATGAAATAAAAAATTGTTTTTTTGTCTTTTTCCTTTTTATCGGTACCGGGGATCAAACTCACAACTGCCTGCTTTCAAGGCAGGCGCTTATGCCGCTGAGCTAAACCCCCAGTCCCTTAAATTTAAAAATTTTAAATAAAATTTAACAGGGGAGTGTAAAAAGATAACTTCGTTCATAATTTCAAGCACAGGAGGGTAAGCTCTGCTCCTGAAGTCTACTCTTTGGCCTCAGAGTCCTACCACTGTTTTTTGGTTTTGTGTTTGTTTGTTTGTTTCTTTGTTTTTTGTCTTTTTCCTTTTTACTGGTACCGAGGATTGAACTCAGGACTGCCTGCTACGCAGGCACTTATGCCGCTGAGCTAAATCCCCAGCCCCCTGTTGCTTTGTTTTTGAGACAGGGTCTTGATATGTAGTTCTGGCTGGTCTGAGCCTCTCTATGTAGCCCAGGCTGTTTTCAAAAACAGAGAAATCGAGGCTCAGAGATGTAAACTACTGACCCTTTTAACAATCTGAACCCAGTTCTAGGCTTCCACATTCTTAGTCTAGGAGGATAACTCGAGTGCAGAAGGTGGTTCCTGGGCAGTCAGGACTCACTGATTAAAAGAAAAAACAAAAACAGAAAAACCTCACTGATTTCACAGTGCTTCCCAAGGAGCTCTCTGGTCTTTTGGAACTGCCCCAGACAAGGCCAGGATGACACACCCCACTCCACCCACACACACCCGCGCGCGCCGGGTCCCCATTCAAACACCACCTCATTGGACCTCTCAATGTCAAAGTTCGCCCAGCCCCGTCTTGCACATTTGCTGTAAGGAAGAACTTGCATCCTCCCGGGCCAGCTCCTACCTTCAAAATATTTTGTCAGATGCCGGCTCCCGGTAGGGGAGCTACAGAGGCGGCCGACTCTCCTCAAGACAGGGGAATCCCTCGTTAGGCCGTCTTTAAACGGCAAAATCAAACGATCCTTTACCCCGCACCCCTGACGCCTCAGCGCCACGGCCGTCCAGAAAAACTACCTTTCAAGCCTTCCTTAGTAGGGCAGCACCCAGGAGCTGGACAATCAAGTTCGTCACGACGCTCGGGCGCCATCTTGCGTTCATTCGTTGGTGACAACCCAGAAACCACATTTCCCAGCGTGTCTAGCGCATCCGCGCAGGCGCAAACAGCGTCCTCTCGTTTCCATGGGAACCTCTCCCACAGAGTTGTGGCCCCTGGACTCCACTGAGAGCCGGCGATACTCCTTCCGAGGAGCACGGGCACTGTGACGAGGTCTGCAGTCCACTGAGGGGGCAAAATAGGGGACTTGAGGGGACGCCGGCCCTGACTCCAGAATTCTTGCGAATGTTCGAACATTCCTGGGGCCGCGGCGCTCTGAGGTGGAGGGGCTTGGATCGGCGCGGGTGGTCGAGGACAGTGTTGGGCTTCGGCAGGTGCGACCGACGACTAGTACTGTCCGAGGGCGTGGGTAGAGCGCGGGCAGCCGGCCGGAAATGGTTTGTGCAGCGGGTGAAAGGCGGCGGGCAGGGCGAGAAGCTCGCCTGGGGCTGGACCCGACTCTGCCTCTCACGGACCGCAGACCCGGGGCAGCTCTTAGCGCTTCTGGGCTTCAGTGCCACTCACCCTACACCGCAAAAGGGGGTTTGGACTGGAATTTCTTGTATCCAGTGCAACCGTGTTGCAGAGCTTCAGACTTCCGTTGCTTCTGTGTGACCCAGAGAGGAAATCCCTTCATCTTGCTGAGCCCAAATTCTCTTCTCTGTAAAATAAAGGGCTTGAAGCAGGTGATCCTAAGATACCTTCTAGAAGTATACTTTACTTACCTACAGCTGTGTTTATTTCCCCTCATTACGTAGCAAGTGCACGAAGAAAGAAAACGGATGATTTCGAGCAAGAATATCAGCTTGGGATGTAGAGTTAGAAATGGGTTTGTGACTTTAGGTAGATTTTACACCTCCTGAGCCGAAAACTGGTGACAACAATAATACCGCCTGAAGGCAGAGGATGTAGCTGAGCAGCGCAGTGCCTGTCTACCAAGCACGAGGCCCTGGGTTTGATTTCTGGTACAAAACAACCCCCCTCAAAATAGTACTTCAGGTTTTTTGGAGTTTTTTCTTTGTTTTTGTCTTTTGGTACCAGGAATCAAACTCACGACCTCATGCTTGTCAGGCAGGTGCTGTGCCACAGAGCTTTATCCCTGGCCCAGTTTGTTTCTTTTGAGATCGGCTTGCTATGTTGTTCAGGCTGGCTTTGAACTCATTATGTAGCCCAGGCTGGTCTTGAACTTGTAGCAACCCTCCTGCCCCAGCCTCCTACGTCTGCCACCAGATATGACCTTAAATGTTAAGCTGG